AAAAAAAAAAAAAAAAAGCCCTGTCGATTCCCAGGCCTCACATTAATTCTGGTTCAGAAAGTTTGGAGTGAAGTATGGGAGTCTGCATTGTTACAAGGTTGATTCTGATGCCTGGTAAAGTCTAGAAGCCACTAGTATATGTGTGTATGAGGCATAAAAACAAACAAGCACTTTTTTCATACCTTCTTCAAAAGGATGTCTTTTGCTTTCTTCAAGTCTATTTTATTTATTGTTATAAACAGCTGTCACATGCCTAGCTCATTCATTTTTAGCCTTTTCAGTTAACATCCAGAGCTATAAATGTTCCCCTGCTTTCATTGGATACGAATTCTGTATTTCCTTCTAAACTTTTGAGTTGCTGGTGATAACTTTGAGTTGGGAATAATTCAGAAATATATTTTAAAATTCCTATATTGAGGTAACTTAATCATTGGTTCATGTGGTTCCCTACCAAATCTTAACACATCGATCTTAGATCATATTCATCTTTTGTTACTGATTTCTAACAATTGCATTGTGGTTTGTATATACTGATTCTTTTGAGGTAGCTTTAGACTTTGTCATTCATTCCTGAAGTTAATGTTTGTGATTGTTCCAAGTAAGTTTGAGGAGAATCAGTGTTTTATAATTATTGGTGCTGGGTTCTATTTAGATGCAACAAGTCAGGTTTGTTTATTGTTTAAATCAGCTGTTTTTTTTCTGCTTGCTCTATTGATACTTGAGAGAAATATTTTTAAAATTTCCACTATCATAGTGATTTCTTGATTTCTTTTTGTAGTTCTGTTGAGTATATATTTTGAATATTTTAGGTGCATTAATTAGATACATACATGTTCAGAATTGTTATTTCTTTATAGCAAATCAAATCTTAAGTAAACTGTAACTTTTATAATGCTTTTGGTTTCAAAGCCTGTTTTCCTAATATTAACATGAGTACCCCAGCTTTCTTTAGACTAGTATTTACCATGGTACCTTTTGTTTTTGTCTGATATTTTGAGAGAGGAACTTGCTGTGTGGTCCAGGCTGGGCTTGAGTTCGCTATGTAGCCCAGGCTGGCCTTGTCATCCTCCTGCCTCAGCCTCCCAAGGGCTGGGATTACAATCATGTGCCACCATCCCTAGCTGCAGGTACCTCTAATTTCCATTCTTTTACTTTTAACCTTTCTAGGTCAATGAGCTTTTAGATGTATCTCTTATAAAATATCAGCATCTACATTTTTTTTCTTAATTTCTATCTAGTAGGGTTGTCTATATTAAGATTTTTTATATAACTTCTGTAATCTTAATGTTGTCTTTTTACCATTTAAAAATAATTTCTACCATCTTATATTTCTTTTTAAAAAATGATTCAGATTTTAAAATCTCAGTCATTTTTCTTTCTTTGTTTGGCAGTACTGAGGATTGATTCCAGGACCTAAGTATTGAGCTACATCCCCAGCCCATTTTTCATTTCATTTATTTATTTATTTATATTTGTTTATTTATTTATTTATTTATTTATTTTGAGATAGGGTCTCACTAAGTTGCTATGGGTGTGCTCCAACTTGTGATCCTCCTGCCTCAGCTTCTCAGTGCTGGGAATACAGGCATTCACCACCACACCTGGTTTTGATCATATAGTCATATTTAACGCCTCAAATTAGATTTTATTTTTTAATACAGATCATTGTTTAGATTTGTGTTTGCCAATTTCATTGTACACTGTCCCTTCCTTCTGGTACTCAGGCTCTCCTGGGATAATTTGTTTTTTTGTTGAAGTATATTTTAGTGAAAGTGTTTTTGTCTTTTTGTTGAAGTATGTTATTTTAGTGAAAGAATCTTTAGTATTTCATTCTAGATGTTTTCTTCAATCTTAAATAACTTAATTTTTGTCATTTGTAAATAGTGTCCAAATATTCTTGAAATCATTTGTGGTTCTAACCAGGTTAAATAATAAAGATGACAAAGAATCAAAAGTTTGCATGCTTCACCCCTCGGATTTGTTGGGAGTTTTGACTTTACAATGAATTTTATAATTGGAGGAGATTAAGAACCTAAAATAAAGGCTTTTCATGTCAGATCTTCACAGACCTCCTTCAGAGTCTCATTCAGGCTGCCTTAGAACCATCGATATGTTTTCTGAGCTCCTGATTTCCTAAGCTTTGATTCCCAAGATTGGAGCTAGCTCAAATCACCATGTTTTTTCTTACAGCTCAGAGAGTGGCAATAGTGTGAAAAGACTGAAACCAGACTCTGACCCAGATGACAAGAGTCAAGGTGGGTGTCACACTTTCTTTTTTCATGGTACACGTGAACCATGGTAAAGGGCTGGAATGCATTGTTTCCGTGAATGGATGCATGTCTCTTCAAATAAGCCTACCTAAACTTAATTTGCTAAACTACTTTATACCTGGCAAGATTTATTCCCGAGACTCTGCCAGCTGCTCTGCAAAAGCAATGTGTTAGAAACCAGTAGAGCTGATAAATGACATTTGTGTTTTCCCAGGATTATTTACAAATCCCTGGTTAGGTGACCTCTCGTTACAAAGAGTTTTTCTCTTGTCTCCTCCAAATGTCACGTTTCTTGATTTCACCTGGCTTGATCCCTGTGGAATGCAGAATGCCTGGCTCCTGCTGATTGTTGAAGTGTGTTGGGCCTAGAAGCTTAGTACGGTTTCCAGGAGTACACTTTCTTTGGTGGTTGCTTTCAAGTGATGAAACCTGTCTGTATTAAATGGCATGAAGTTGTAAGTGAGGGAGAATATTCCTAGGGGCCGCCTTAGGAATGAGGAACTCAGTAGTCTGTTTTCAGTTCTATATCTGACTCCCTGTGGGATCCAGACTCTGAGCTAAATTCAGGGGTCATCTTTATAACAGGGCATACATTTATTTCTCTCTTAAAATTAAAAAGGATGATTTTTTTAAATGTGTAGAGTATCAATGCTAGTGGAGTGTTGCTGTTACTCTTTTGCTATAAAACCTTTTAAATAGGACCCTCAATGAAAACATCTTTGCACTCAAGATCCCTCTTCTATCTAGTTCTTTCCGCCAAGGAAATAGTATTTTACATTTCTTGTGTTTCCATCCAGACCTATTCTATGTATGTACAATTATAAATACATATTTTAGAACCCTTTATTATAGATAATTTGAAACATTCAAAAATTAAAATAATAGTATAGTGCTGGAGATTTAGCTCTGTGGCACCACTCTGTCTCACAAGCACAAAGTCCTGAGTTTGATCCCCAGTACCAAAAATAAAAAAATAAAATAAAATAATAGCATAATGACCTCCTAGCAACAATTTTTTTTGGTACTGGGGATCAGACTGAGGACCTTGAACTTGCGAAGCAGGTGTGACACCACTGAGCTAAATTCCCCCCACTGTATCAACAATATTTTATTTTTTAAAATTTGTTTCCATTAAGTTTATTGATACATTTTAGGTATACAGTACAGTTACATTCATCATTGGGATCTTGTACCTTTACATGATGTATCTCGGTTCTATTTTTTCCCCATTCCCCTGTCCTCTCTTCACCCCCTCGACCCTTCCCTATTTGTGAAGACTTTGTTTCCATGTTTTTCCTTTTCCTCCCTCTTTCTTTTCCCCTACCCCTTCCACTTCCCCTGCTCCTTTAGACATTTTCTTCCTATTTCACAGTATCAGTTATACATTTTGATCCTTATTTACACACCAGAGAAACTATTCAGTATTCACACATGCGTCCTGTTTATTTCACTTAAGAGTATGGCCTCAATGTTCATCCACTTAGCTATTAATGTCTAGTTTCTCATTCTTTATGGTGAGTTGTACTCTGTTTTATAAAACAGAACAAAACAAAACAAAACACCACATCTTTATCCAGTCTCTAGTTGATGGGCAATTGGGCTGTTTCCAAGTTTTAGCTATTACAAACTGTCGCTATAAACATGGGTGCACATATATCACTGTGGTATAATTCTTTTAATACTTTTGGGAAGATACCCAGCAGAAGAATAGCTGGGTCAAATGGGACTTCTAACCTTAGTTGTTTGCGGTATCTCCATATTGGTTTCCACAGTAGTTGCACCAATCTTCACTCCCACCAACAATGGAGAAGGGTTCCTTTCTCCCCTCAACCCCGCCAGCATTTGTTGTTGGTTGATTTCTTGATAGCAGCCATTCTTTGTGGGGTAAGGTGGAATGAATCTCAGTGTTGTTTTCATCTGCATCTCTTGAATGACCAGTGATGTGGAACATTTTTTCATATGTTTGTTTGCTGCTTTTACTTCTTTGAGAAATGTCTGTTCATTTCAGATGCCCATTTTTTGATTGGGTCTTTTCAACAATATTTTTAAATGCATATTTTATTTTGCAGTGTTAAGGAATTAAACCCAGGGCCTTGCACATGCTAAGCAAGCATTCTACAATAAGCTATACCTACCCAACTATAATACTTTATAACAAATCCCAGTTATCATTTCACTTCATAATTCTCCACTATGTATTTATGAAAAGTAAGTTCTTTTTTGGCTTTTTTGTTTTATTAATTGGAATACTGTGATCATATCTAAAATAATCATAATAATAACTAAATTTAAAGTTTATTTTTCCCATTTATTTCAAAAAATGTTGTCTTGGCAATTTTGTTCTTAAAGTTAGAATCTAAGCAAGGACCAAACATTGTATCTGGCTCATGACACCCCCCCCCCAAGTACTGAGTATTGAACCCAGGGCCTACTCACTGAGCTATATCTGCAGCTGTTCTTAAATCTATTTTGAGACAGGATCTTGCTAAGTTGCCGAAGCTGGGCTTGAACTTGTGATCCTTCTGCCTCAGCCTCCCAGAGAGCTGGGATTACAAGAATGTGCCACCAAGCCCCCAGCTTCATGAAACTTAAAAAAACAAACAAACAAAAAAAAACCTACTGAAATCTGAAATATAATTTATAACATTCAACCTTTAAAGAATATAGTTATGTGGCTATTAGTATGTTTACAAAGTTGTGCAACCATCACCGCTACCTATTTCCAAAACATTTTCAACTCCCAAAAGAAACCCTGTGCTGTTAGTGGTTATTCCCCATTCCCTCTTCTCAGCCAGTGACAACCACTGTTTTTTCTGTCTGAATAAACTCCTTTTTGGACCATTTCATATAAATGAAATCATGCAATATGTGGTGTTTTGTGTCTGGCTTTTCAGTCAATATATTTTCAAAGTTCATGTTGTAACATGAATTAATGTGTTTTACTAATGGCTGAAAAATATCCGTTGTATAATATACCACAGTTTGTTCATTCATTAGTTGATGGGCATTTGTATTGTTTCTACTTTTTGGCTATTAATCATGCTGCTGTAAATATTCATGTGTAAGTTTTTGTGTAAAGCCTTCTTTTCAGTCTCTTGGGTATATACCTACAAATGGAATTACTAGGTCATGTGGTATCTCTATAATTAGCATTTTTCAAAGTAGCTATACTTTTTACATCTTTTTCAACACGTTATTGTCTTTTTAAAATTAAATTTATCCTTGTATCTCATTGTGATTTGGACTTGTATTTCCCTAATGATGGTAAGCAACATGTATTTATTGGGCATTTCGTTTGCTTAGCAAAAATTTAAATCAAGTTATTTATCTTTTCACTGTTGAGTGGTAAGGATACTTGATACTTATTAGATATATAATTTCTAAGTATTTTTTTCTGTGTTTTTACTTTGTTCTCTTTAGAGCATAAAGTTTTTAATTTTGATGACATCCGATTTATCAGTTTTTCTTTATTGCTTATGCTCTAGTATCATACATTAGAAACCTTGCTTAGTTTGTTGTCATAAAGATTTATGCCTGTTTCTTTAAATCGTTTTTTTTTTTAGTTTTTACATCCAGTCTTTGATTCATTTTGAGTTAGTTTTTTGTTTGTTTGTTTAGTTTTAGTGTTTTGGGGTTTTTGTTTTTTTGTTTTTGTTTTTTTTTTTTTTGCTTTTGCTTTTTTGTTTGTTTGTTTGTTTTTTTTAAGATAGGATCTTGCTATGTAGGTCAGGCTGGCCTTGAACTCACTGTGTAGCCTAGGCAGGCCTTGAATTCATAGCACTCCTCCTGCTTCAGCCTCCTGGATTACAAATGTGGACCACCATGCCTGACAAGTTTGTTTCTGTTATAACATAAAGTAGGGGTCCAGTTTCATTTACAGGGATATCTCTTTGTCCTGGCAACACTTGTTGAAAAGATTAATCTTTCTCCACTAAACTGTCGAGGCATTTTTGTTGGCATTCAGTTAACTTTAAATGTATGGGTTTATTTCTGGAATCTCTTTTCTATTTCATTTATCTTTATGTCTGTCCTTACACCATTACCACATAGTCTTCATCACTGAAGCTTTGTAGTAAGTTTTGAAATCAAGAAGTATGAGTTTTCTGTTTTTTTCAAGAATGTTTTGCTTATTTGCTTATTAAAATCCTTTTGATTTCCATTTGAATTTGGGGACCAGTTTGTGATTTCTGCAAAAGCAGCTGAAATTTTGATTAATCTTTTAAGACTCTGTAGATTTGTTAGGTAGTATTGCTATCTTAACAATATCTTGAGTCATCTTAACAATAGGCTACATGCAGACATGTGCATGCACACATGACTTCATAAAAATTTTAAATGCATTTCAACTAGTAAACTAGTTGCACTGTATCTCATGCTTACTTTCTGGTAGGAATGAGTCAGTCGAAAGGAAAACTGGCTTCCTTGAACCACCTCAGACAGACACTTAGATTTCAGAGCCATCTTTTTGTCCTTCTGAATGCCTTCTTCCTACCCCTGTGTTCTCCTGCAGAAGCTAGGCAAGAAATGTCCTCCTCTACTGGGACATAAGGCCTCACAAGAATGATGTCCTGAGAAAGCTTGCTTCTGAGACTTCTCAGCAGGAGGATTTGCCCCTTGGTCCCTCAGAAGCTATCTGTGATCCTGATAGAGATTCAGCTTCCCCCTAAAGACCTGCCTGAGCAGAGCCAGGGAGTGAATGCACAAGTTGGCTCCATCTACTCCCAAGTCATGAATCTGCCTAAATCCCGAGAACATTTTCTAATAGTAATTTTTTGTGTTAATTTGTTATGACAGTGTGGTGCAGCAAATACAGAAGTTGGCAGGAAACCTCACCAAATGGGTGAGATCAGAGGGCACCATTTTGTTCTCTTTGTATAGTTAACTGCTTTTGGAATGAAATTTGTTAGAGTTGCAGTCTCTTTTCTTTCTTAGAACTTCCGATGTAATTGGGAGTTTTTGTTTTTTCACTTAACCTACTGATGTCACAGTGGTCCAGATTCCTTGCTCACACATTTTTGTAGCTGGCTTCTATCCTTCCTTTAGGCCAGCTCTTATCCTCATGGGTATTCTGAACTTTCTGAACTTTTCTTTCTTTTCTTGGTCCCTTAAATTCAGTTCACACTTGAAATACTTGATAAAACAATATACTTCACTGAATGACTTTCACATGAAATACTGTTTTTTGTTTGTTTGGTTGGTGGTGTGATTCTTTTTTTTTTTTTTTTTATAGCACATTTGGCTATGCATCCCAAACTGGCCTTGAACTTCTAATCCAAAGTGCTGAGATTATATATGTGCACCACCATGCCCAGCCATACATTAGTTTTCTAAGTAACTGAACCACATACCTTTATAAGATACTTATTTTTAAAACAACCACGTTTTTTCTGCCAGAATAGTAAAAGCATCCTTTTATATGTTATGCATAACAATAATGAATGTTGAAGTAATAAATGCTGTAATTTTCTTTTTTGGTATCAGGGATCGAAATCAGGACCTTGCACTTTTGAGGCAGTTGGCAGTACCCCTAAGCTAAATCCCTAGCCCTTAAGTAATAAATGATATAGCTTGATGTCATGTCCCCAAAGAGTAGGAAACCATCACTTTATTCTCCCAGAGTAACCCAGTTTTGAATGTATTTTTGCTGACATTGTCATACATATGCATGATTGTGCCTTTTTCCCCCAAATTATAACTTATACATGCTGTTCTGCCCCTTGCCTTTTTCATTTAGCACATTATCTTGGAGATCATTCAATTCCAGTACAGACGGAGATTTTTTTTTTTTTTTTGGTACTGGGGATCAAACTCAGGACCTGGTGCTTGTGAGGCAAGCGGTAGAACCACTGACCTAAACCCCTGGCTCATTTTGTTTCTTTTTTTTGCAGTGCTAGGGATGGAACTTTTTGCATTGTAGGCAAGAACCCTACCTCTGAGCCATACTCCAACCTGAGATGCGTTCTTCTTGATGGCTGAATAGGAGACCATTACTGAGCTAGCTGCCTATTAACGGACATTTTGCTACTCTAAACAGTGCTGCAGTGAATGTTTTCTCATGAACATCATTTAAATTTCAAAGTCATTGCCAGATTTCTCTATATTCCTTCAGCAGCATATAAAGTTAGATATTCTTTACATGGTCCTTCCTAATTTGTTACTACTAAGTTAACATGTGACCTTTTCTATGAACTCTGAATATCTTTTAGCCACTTTTCTGCTCAGTTGTTGATTTTTTTTAACAGATTGTAATTCTTTATAATCTTAGAGACATCAATCAGCTTTTGTGATATTGTTATAGATATTTGCCTTACCCTCTTATAACCATGTTTTTGACATCTCTGCCATCATTGTCTGCCCTTTATTTACTTTCTGATATCTGCATGTGTTAACATTGTTTACCATTAGCAGTTTCTTTCTCTTTTTCTCTTTCTTTTTGGTACCAGGGATTGAACCTGAGGTCTCGGGCTTGCGAGGTGGTGGTGGCACCACTGAGCTAAATCCCTGGCCCAGTTTCTTTCTCCTTGGTTGGAATGACCTGTAAAGACAGGCACATGCACTGAGCCCCTGAATTCTGCACATTGGCCTTAAGAAGGTGCATCCAGCTTCTTGGTGGTATTTTTTTCTGACTCCTGGTGTCAAATGCATGGAATCATGTATCCTTTGACATCTGCTTGAGGTATCTGCATATGTGAGATGATGGTGAATCAAAGGCAAGCCCAGAAGATGCTGTGCTTATTCAGACCGAGGCAGTGATGTGTGCACTCCAATCCTTATTCTCCAAAGAGCTCTGTGTCATTTTAATACAGTATCATTTGATTCAGTTTTAGTTAAATGTTTTCTACTGTAAGTAACCTGTAAGCCCGCGCAGTCATTTGACCCCCCCTCCCCAACCAGCAAATGGAGATAATACCTACATAGCAGTTTGTGACAGTGATTAAATGAGGCTGGAAATTCAAAAGGAAGACAGGGTGGAGTGGAGTGCTTTCCTTTACCTTTCAGATCCTACATTTTCTAGATTGAGGCTTTCTGTCCTTTGAGTGGCAGGGTAACTATGGGTTTTCTAGAAAGAAAAAAGCCCCAGATATTTGGTGACATTGTGCATGGTCTTGAAGTGTTACCTGATTGGCTTTGGTTTTCTCAGTTGTAAGAGGACCATGACTAGAAGGCAAAAGTTGTATTAAATCAGTTTCTCAATTGCTTATATCTGCCATCAGGGAAAAGCAGCTCTCCTTAATAAAGTGTTATTCTGTAGCTAATGTTTGGCCTTCAGAGCTGGCACAAGTATCGGATGGTGATGGTGTCATATGCTGAGGACTTTTTAACGTTACTCAGTGTTTCTGAACACTGAGAACACAGGTGGAAGCCTTTTATCTCTGCATGTCCATCTTCTGCCCTGAGAGTGAGTAGGGAATAATATAAACACTGGCCCATCTTGTGAGGACAGGGAAGTAAATTCCCCTGGGCAGCCCTGCAAGGTGTTTGTTCTGCAGCCCAGAGCTGGTGGGGAACGAGTGTGTAGTCAGACTCTGGGAATAGAGTCCTAGCTTTGCCACTTGACCTTGAGAAGTCATTTCACCTCCTGGAGCCTCACTTCTTTTGTCATTTTCTTTATCTGTAAAATGAGGCTGACAAGGGTCTTGACTGCACAGCATTGTTTGCAGGCCTGGTGATTTCTGGGGGTAAAGCCTTAGTACCCAGACCAGCGTGTACATAAGTACCCCTCACCTTTGAAAGAGCGATGAATAAAAATCCTCTTTTTTGCAGAGGCCCCATCCTGTGTATCTGTTGGAAGTACCTCCCTGAGTGGCCCATCCATTCACTGCCCCTCCGCCGCTGTCTGCATCGGCATCCTCCCAGGTCTGGGCGCCTACTCTGGGAGCAGCGACTCTGAGTCCAGCTCAGACAGTGAAGGCACCATCAACGCCACGGGGAAGATCGTCTCCTCCATCTTCCGAACCAACACCTTCCTGGAGGCACCCTAACTCCTATCCTTCCCACAGGGAGCTCCCCCTAGAACGGTCAGACCGTCCATTCTGCCTCCAGGCAATACCTCCCTCCAAAACTCCTTTGCCGGCCCTCTGTGCACACCGTGACACTTTTAACCTCACCTAAAAATGTGCCAGATCACTTGTAGCCAGAACTGTGTTTGGTCTTCTTCCTGCTGTGGTGCAGATGACCATACCCCTGCCTCTTCCTCTCTGACATGGTAGGGTGGTGTGGCTGCAGAAGCTGTGCCTGGGGGGATCAGCAGGACTAGCTAGTAGAGGATGCTGCTGGGTTTTGTTGCTTTCTTCTTTTCTGTTTTTCCTTTCCCAACAGTGCCAGAAGCCAGGGCAGTTGTTGCACAGGTGTTATTTAAAGTTTATTGTAGACAAATGTGTTGTTCAGTTCGACTGTGTTGTGGAGCATGTGGAGACAAAGCTGACCGGTGGGAAATGGAGCACCTCTCTGAACTAAGTCCTCCGTGTTGTCTTGCTGTCGTGATGTTGAGTGCTAAGTAAAGATAATGAAGTCCATCTGCAGGGGATGTCAGTTGACTGACACCAGCCTTCATTGTGAAGTTTGCCTTACTGTTGGCCACTCCTGTCCTCTCCATCCAATCCCATTTGTATAGGAATAGGCTGGTAATGAGCAAGCTTTTATCTTCTACTCAGATCTTTTCTCTGCCTAGCAAGTTATTTTATTTTTGATTTTGAAATAAAAGATTTAGTTTAAGATTTTAAACTTTTGAGAAACAAGCAGTGGCCTTATTTAACATGGCCAGAAACCAGAACCACTGGTGTGTACGTTAGCGAGATGACTTTTCTGGCGGCTTCTGCAATCTGAATACTACAAACTAGCTGGGCACACCTGCATGTTATGACTATGCTTGGCTTCCCTCTGAGGCATTTCTGTTTCATGCTTGTTAGAGTTGTGGCTTTTAACTGTGAAAGCCCTTGTAAGCCTAAAGGTGCTGCCCTAGCACTTTTCTTTAATCCACTGTCCCACTGCTCTTTCCCTTCCCAAACAGCAGTTCCAAAGCCACAGGCAGCCAAGAAGCAGAGGAGCTCTGCCCCCTCTGTCTCATAGAGGGAACTAGGCTCAGCCCTGAGTGGGTGAAAGGGAGGTGTGGAGAAGAGGATATGGAGTCCTCTGGGGAGAGGTGGGTATGAGCTTTAAAACAGTCTGGATGTCCCCCTGCCTCAGGAGAGAAAGCCCGTGTAACTCTTTCCCTTGGTTCCTGCGTCAATGGTTTCTGTTTCCTCGGGTGTGAGACTGAGCGAGACACACGTAGAATGTGTTGACACTATGATGCCGGCAGTCAGGGAAGCTACTTACTTTTAACGTGGGCAGAGAGGCTTCTGGGTCTCATCCAACCCACTTCTTTTCCTTTTCCAGTTTGGCTATACTCTGGTGCCCACTGGCAGATGGTGGCGTCCCCTCACCCATAACTGATGCCTTGTGAATTCTGTCTTCCTTTTAGGACTTCTCAGTGTTAATTGTCTCTGACAATATGGGTGCGTCAGCTCCATGCTCACAAACAAGATGTTAGGTAAAACTGTGTAGGCACCTTCTGCCTTGCTGCTTCATTGTTCCTGCAATTGTGCTGTCATGGTTGCAGCATATACCCAGAGAAAACTCGAATCATTTCAGGAGGCAGGCCAAAGAATTAAAGTCACCATCTTTATGTGGTTTGACTTTTCAGAGGCCATTACTGTACCTCGTGGCCTCTGTTGATGTTTGAAGAAGTTGACCAAGGGTTGCAGAGATTAAAATCATACAGGAACTTCAAAGTGAGTAAATCAGAGAAGGATCTCTTGCCTCTCTTGTACTGCATCCTGGGCCTCCAGGTCTCCCATCACAGATTGGATTGTGCAGGTTGAATCTTCAGACTGAGATCCTGTGCTCAAGAGAGATTAAGTCCCTAGGGTCCTTTCATTGTTGTCTGTTGTGCCCATCAGCATAGAGCCTTGAAACTGAAACATAGCTTCTGTAGGAACCATGGGTAGCAAAGGAGGATCTGTACCTAACGGGAAGTGGCCTGTGGAAGCATCCAGGGTAGAACTCATGGTTCTGTCCCAAAGAATGAGATATGTAGGGATGGAAGGAAACACTGCTTAAAACCAAAAAATTATACAGTTGGCCCTCCAAGTTGGCTGGTTCTGCTTCTGGATTCATCCAGTTACCGATTGAAAAAAATTTGAAAAAAGCATTGTGTCTATACTGAACATGCAGTTTTTTATTCTCTAAACTGCATATAGCAGCTATTTACATAGCTTTTGCATTTTATTAGGTTATTCTAGGTAAGCTAGAAGTGATTTAAAGTATCCTGAGTGCTTCCCTTTGCACTGCTCTCTTCCCACCCAAGAGAGAAACTCCATTTGCCTAGACCATCCCACCGCCACAGCTTCTCCTCCCTGGGACCTCAGCCTCATTCCACCTTGCACAGATACACTGCTGATTCTGAACTTGGAGCCAGACATTCACTGGCTGTTTCATTTAGGCAAGGTCCAGAGGGGCCTCACTTTCCTCCTTGGGAAAAAGGAATGGTGCCATGGTCTTCCTTGGGAAGGATAAGAGAAAATGTAGATAAGGTGCTTGGTATGCCACCTGATGCTCATTAGGCAGTAGCAGTCCTTAGTGCTGTTACCATGGGCCTCCTCACTTCTGAGTGTGGTGTCAGCTGTGTTAGTGTGGCTTGTGCAGGCCTCTTGGTCACACTGGCATTCCTCAGTTGCATCTAGAACGCTGAAATGCCAAAAGATCAGATCTGGTTGTCAGTGCTCCACCACCAGTCTCTGCTGTGTGCTGTTCTCTGCTGAATGTTAATTCCTCTGGCACACCCGGTTCCTTGGCTGAAGTGTCTTAGCCGTGGGTATATGGCTCAGCTGTCATCTTAAGCCCCTCCAGAAAAACAAGGAGAGCTCAGTGGCAGTGCATAGCCATTTGGATTTGGTGTTTTCTTGATTTCCTGGCGTGCCCAGCCTGGTTTCACATGCCAGGGTAGAATGCAATTTCTGCTCAGTGGGAGGCTAGAATCTTGGCAAAACTTTTGCAGTCACAGGTTGAACACAAGAAGCCAGTCTCACATTCATGCCTTAGTGATGCTGGAAAGGGCTGGAGGTTTGCTCTCTTACCTGCTGGAGTTGATGGTGTAGGGGAGAGGGAGTCTCAGCAGTGACCAGCAGAATATGGCCCCAGCACTGGAGGAAAGCTTTGCGGAGGTCTTCACCTGAGCTTTATGCTGTAAGCTGGCCTGCTCTCTTCCTCTTTCAGTAGTAATCATGTACATTGTTGTCCCTTGTGTTGATCTCTCATTCAGTGCGTGCTGCTATGGAGGTCTTAGGCAGCTTAGGACATTTCTGTGTTATTTTAGTGGATGGTTGTGTCTTTAATTCTGAAAAAGATCCTATGAAACAGCCTTTCTCTACATTTTACACAGGAAACCAAAATTTCCAGCAGTTCAGTGATTTGCCTGGCAGCTGACAGAACAAGAGTTTTTATTTGAGCTTTTAAGTCTAGCTTTTTGTGACGTTAGTGCATGTTTTAAACAAATGCCAGCACCCAGGCCTCAGTGGAGGAGTCTCCAGGCCAGGGTGGAGTCTTTCTGTCAGGTTTCTAAGTCTGCTTTTCACCCTGTTCCTGTGGAAGAGCCAAGCAGCAGCAGCAGCTTGGAGTTTTAAAAAGGCAATGCACCCTTGTCTAAAGTTTAGGCACGTTCTTTTTCCTGTAGACTGGAGCCAGCCAAGAGTACAGAGCCTGCTTGACTTACCCCTGTAGTCTCAGGCAGAGGGGTCAGACAGCAGGAGGGCCTGGGTCTCCCACTAAGGGAGGCCTTTCAGAAGTAGCAACTGTGGCCCACACATCTGGTCTGTAGGAGCATGAACTTTGGGGACAGACTTCTGGAGAGGCCTTTGGGCAGGTGGACTTGACAGACTCTCCCAAGTTGGAGCAGCACAGACCTTCCTGGATATAACATCCACTAGTCACTTCAGTACCAAATGAGTAAACAGTCTTGTGCTAATGTCTGTCTGGTAGCTGGCCAGGCAAGTGAACCAAAATGAGCCAGATATACCAGTACTGGGCTTCATCCATGTGGCTGGCTGGCCTAGGTAGTGGAGGCACTGTCTTCCTGAAGGCTCTTCCACAAATCAGGGTTCTGTGCATGCCAGCAGCTCTCAGAGAGAAGGGAAAGTAACCCCAAACCATACTTCAGTGGTTTCTGGTGGCTACAGAAGTCATAGAAGGATTAAAAGCTTAGGGTGCCCCTCACTCATTCCTACCAGCTAAACTGGCTCCTGAGCTTGCTGGGCACCTGCCTGGTGCTGCCCAGTTGGAGCAGGTCACTAGTGGAGTGGAGGGACAAGGCCATCATTCAGCAGCTTCAACAGAAGCCTTTGCAAAGCCTCCCTCCTGAAGGCTTCAGGAAGGCACTGGATGCAACAGAACCAGTGTAGGCATGGAGTCAGCCAGATACATATGTATTGGGCTCTGCCTTGAGTAGGCCTGATGTGCTGCTGCATGTGCTTCCAAGAATCTGAAGTGGTTCTGGTTGGGGCTGTTGGAAGGGTTCATCAAGATGCACCTTAGGTAGAGCTGGGGCTATAACTCAGTGGCATAGTACTTGCCTAGCATGCACACACACACTCCTGCAAAGCATTCCTTGGGGAACTGGAAACAGTGCTTAACAGAATGTTAGCTATTACTGGTTACACATAAGCCTGTGTCAAGGGGCTGGCTGGAATTTCAGAGGAGGTAGATAAAAAAGGGAGGGGTGTTTATCTGCAAGAGAGGGAACTGGGAGATCGGATGGTTCCAGAGAGGTCCTCTGGCTGCTCTTGTAAAGCTGGGCCTGCATCTAGAAAAGGATGGAGGCCTAACCCTAACCCTATTGAGGTCCTAAGGCCAAAGAGGCTTTTGCACACCGCAGACTACAAGGCCTGGGAGACCTAGAGGAGAGGACCAAGTGGGTGGCAGTAACTGCTGTCTAGCTGGGGGGTGGGGAGGAACAAAGGTCATAGTGTGGCCCAAGAGGAAGAGGGGAGGGAGGGGAGGCAGGAAGAAGGATGAGTTGGCTGGACCTCCCAGAGATACTGGTGTGGGCTTGCACATTCTCCTCACGCAAATATCAGTGTGTGTGTACCATGCCACATCCTGTACCAGTTTCACTGCTGTTAGGAAATGCAGGTCCCACACAGAAGTGACCACAACAGCTCCACGGGCTTGCTGGGTAGGGGGAAGGGATCTTCCAGTGATTGTTAACCCATGGAGTCCCCACTGAAGGAGCTGACTGAAACAGGGACATGTGAAACTCCTTTATTACCCTGAGTGTAACAGATGGGACAGAGTCACAGTATTAAAAACAGCAGGAATTGGATATGGGCAATGACACAAACAGTGCACCAGGGACATGTTCCTTTCTGTGGCTAGTTACTTAGAAAAAGCCAGTTATGACTGTAAAAATTTTATTCTCTTTAATAACAATTCCACTAAAATTATACAAAGTACATTCAATACTTAAGGGTGGTGGGGGAGGGGGGTTGGGGGAAACGGATTTGCCAGTTTGGCCTGGAAGCATCATCAGCTGATTCCAACACAGGAAGCCCAGCTGGGCTGGGGTGGGTGGGGGCAGAGGTCTGGTTGTAAAAAATAAAATTGTGGATTGGTAAAAAATAGGCCACCCACAAGGAAGGGGGGTGAGCATGCACGTTCCTGGGGAGGGCGGCATGCTGCTGCTGCTGCTGCTGCTGCTGGGTGCAGTCTCAGGCGGGTTCCGAGTTGGTGGGGGGCAAGTTTTTATGCTTGAAATACTGTACAACTTGTTGGGGCAGCTCCGCAAGTACAGCTTTGGCCAGAGTCTCTTTTGCTGCCTACAGGGTCCAGGGTAGCATAGGAAGGAGAGAGAAACAAGGGTTAATGAACAGAAGTTGGGAGAGGCACAGTGCCCAGAGGGCTGTGATAGCAGAAGCCACACAGGACAGATTTTGGGCTGAGGGGCTGGACAGTCTAAAATCTAGTGGCTCTCATCCCTGCCTGTGCCTGAATCTCACCATCAGCAGTGTCTTTCTTGATATTTAGTAGAACTTTTTGCCCTGTGCACTGGAGATGCCTGGGAATAGTATTTTAGGTTGAATTTATCTGTGGGAGGCTTTAAGGGGGAAGAGATGCTGCACAGCCTACTCAGCTGCCAAGCATTTCCTGAGCACCTCCGTGGCTGGAGAAGTGAGCTATGAGTGGTTCACTGGGGAACAGCCTGGCACACAGGCACTCAGTCATGGTCCCATGCATGGATGGGCAACCAAAGCCCAGTATTTGTCCTCAGGAACCTAATGCTCCAGAGGAAGGAGCCATCTCCAGCAAATTCCAAGGATATTGGGCAGAAATGTGATGACCATGGGTCCCCTCCTGCTGATGCTGGCTCCCAGAATCTAAGCCACAGTACCCTGGAGAGGCCCTTCTGCCAAGGAAATCAAGGCTCAAAGGTCACATAGAACCTCTGGCCACTCTGTTATCCCCCTGGTGCTCTTCATAGACCTAGCTACCAACCCTAGGCACCTCCAGGCACAGGGTAGAATGCCTGTCCCTCTTGCAGAGACCCTTACCTTCCATATTAAGATTGAAGGGCTGGCTAAGGTGTGATAGTGGGAAAGGCTGTTCTCCCCTAAGACCTTTGCCTATCCCCTTTATCTGTCTCAAATGCTTTGCGACATTAGGACAGCTCCTTATTCAGGACCCCGCTGGGAGTCCTGGTCTGGACTGGCTCCTGCCTTGCATTTCCTCAGCTTTTGGAAGCCCATGGGAAGCCTGGCATAGCATCAGTGCATGGCAGGCCCTCAGGGAGTCCCTGGAACTGAGAGGGAAGGGTCTCGGGTTAGTCCAGGCAGCCCCAAGACTTTGGTCCTCGGCTGGGGGCCGTCCCTGCCAGCCCCGACCCCCACTCACGTTGCGGAACTCTCGAAAGGGCACGAACTGCACAATGTCACGGGCTGCTTCCTCGCCAGTGTAGGAGCGCAGCCTGCGGCTGTCCCCATCCAGGAACTCCATGGCAGCGAAGTCGGCATTGCCCACACCCACGATGATGATGGACATGGGCAGCTTGGAAGCCTGCACTACAGCATGCCGTGTCTCCTCCATGTCACTGATGACGCCATCCGTGATGATGAGCAGGATGAAGTACTGCTGCAGGGAGTAGTCAGCTAGGCACTCAGTGTGGCCCTGAGGCCCCTGGAACTCTTCTTCCCTTTCTTCCCCCTGCTCCCCAATCCTCTGGTTCCTGGGAGGAAGGCAACAGCCGAATCCCAGCCTCCTGCCTCCTTGGTATCTCTGCCCTGTAGGCCCAGTGACATCCAGAAGCACAGAATGCTCTCCTGCCTGTCTGCCACCTCAGACTCCCTTGTTCTGCCAGCCACTATACCGTGGGACTGTGGGCAACTGGCCTAACTTGCTGGGCCTCAGTTTCTTCACTGGGGATTGCTGCTCAAAGGAATACCATGCTTGAGCCAGTTGTGGCAATCCCACTACTGGAGAGACCTGAGGCAGGAGGATCGCAGGTCCAAGCCCAATCTGGGCCTTTGCAAGACCCTATCCAAATATAAAAGGGCTGGGTTTCTCTGGTAGGAGGTTTGCCTAGCATGTTCGAGATCCTTCAAGCCCTAGCACCATAAAAAACAAAAAACAAACTGTCATCTGCCGCCCTGACAGGCTCTGGCTTGTGCAAAGCCTTGCTTTGGCCAACAGACTCTGGGGTAGCTCCTTTCTGTAGGGATGTCTGCCCTCATTCATCCTCTACTCAGTGCCAGCAGGGGACACCATGTAGGGGTTAAAAGCAGGTCACACAGGCCGGTGTTCTCAGAAGTGTGGGACTCCCTTGGTAAACAAATGAGATGTGGGTTACATCCCAGACTTCGCATTGGACAGGATCGTGGAATCGGGGTAGGAAGAGCTGGCCCAGCACTGGTCTTTCGTCTGGACTGTGCCCAGGAGGCAGCCTCACTTTGGTGCTAGTGTCTTTAATGCCATTAACATTTGCAAACCCTCTTCAGCAGAAAGAAGGCAAAAAGCAGAGCTTTAGAAGGCAATGTGTCCAGCTGCACTCTCATATCGTCCAGTTTGTGGTATGTATTTTTGCCATTACCCTCTATGTATGGTAAATAACACCCATCTTTTCATATACAGTGAGATAAATATTTCCTTATAAATTGTCATTAAAACAATCCTGAATAATGGGTGTGGGTGATGGGAAGATAAAATACGAACTGGTGGCTGTGAGGAGGGTGAGTGAAGTTCCAGAAAGCTCATGGGACAGAAGATCTCGTGAATGGGCCCAGTGCTCCTGGCTGGCTGGTTGGCACCACATTTCCATCACTGCCCTGTCCCTAGCACCTCTGGCTTTTTAGGGGGAAACTGTTTTTCTAACCATAAAAGAGAAAAGCCCTTGTGGTCCCAAGATTCTCTGAGGACTTCAGCCTTCTAGATTGACCCTTTTGGTTGTCAGAGGAGAAAATGGGCCAGACTGTCAAGGTCACAGAGCTAAGGAGGTCTGAAGTGACTCTAGGCTGGCCCAGGCCACATTCTCATCCTGCAAAATTGTCTCCTCCCTAGGAAACTTGCAGAAGCTACAAGCTTAGCCCCCTGGGGTATCTTGCTTCCCTGTCTGTGCCCTAAATAAAAACTGGAAGGAGGCAGTGTGGTGAGCCAATGGAGACATAGGCTCCGCCATCCTCACCCTCAGCTCCAGACAGTAGTAGTCCAGCTCTGGCACTGTGCCTTTAAGAGACCAATCCCTTTGCTGGGGATACCTGTTGCCATGGAGATGGCAGCCTGAATTCTGCAGTGGAGGGCTGCTGCCGCCATCCCCCAATCTCTGGGTTTGGGGGCCTCAAAAACTCATTTAGACCCTGTCCCCCTATGGTGCACCACTGTTCCAGAGACCTTTCCCTTGGGTGGCCCTTAACCACACTCTCAGCCCACCAAAATTATTCCAGGGCAGTACTTCTGAGGCACCTGGTTTGGTAAGAGGGAGGCAAAGAGGCCTGGAAACAAAAGAATGCTGGACCTTGCTTTGATGGGCCTCACTAGTCAGTGAGTGTGGCCTGTCTCCAAGGCCCTGGCAGTGCTGACACGTGATTCCACCCTCTGAGTGTGGCCCTCTCAGCTCTGGCCTGTTTCAGTCAGCCATGTGCTTCTGGGAGGCCAGGGCTCCCTCCCTGCCTTCAGTCCCCTCCCAAGGAATGAGTACAGACAGGGCCCAGGTTCCTGCAGGACTAAGGATACCAGTGGACAGGCCACAAGTACCTGGAGCCACACAATGATAGAGTTGGCAGACACTCCGCCTGCCTCCCATGTGAGTCTCATTTTAGAGATGAGCAGTCGAGCTCAGAAAGGTTAAGTGACTTGTTAAGGCCCCACAGCCAGGAAGTGGCAGTCCAGATTCAGGCCCAAATCTAGCTGACCCCAGAATTGGAGCTCTTTCCATGATGTCCCCTCTGCTGCCCTCGCACTGGTGGCCTGTCATGGTTAGCCTGGCTAGGAGCCCCTCTCACCCAGCATCCTGGTATGTGAGGGCCTGCATGGTCAGGATAATGGTCTAGCTGGGACTCTTCACTCCTGTGTGCCAAGTGCCAGCCACAGCACCTGCACCACATGCCCAGGCCCGGGTTCGGCAGCCTGGGCAGACTTGGCAGTAGAAGCACAGCCAATGGATCCTGGGCTTCTCACCCAGCCTTGGCAGAGCCAGAGCTGTCCTGCAGCCTCACCTATCTGGAGCCTACAGCTCAGCCCCAAGACAGGTCAAAGGGGAGGTGGGAGGTAGCTGTGGATAGGGAGAATGACAGGGAAATAGGGCAGGTGGGGTTGGAAGGGGTGTTGCAGGCTTGCTGTGGGCCACCAGACTACCCCAATGTTCTGCCTCTAATGCCTTTCCTGGTTATGTCCCTCTGCATGCTACACCTTTCCTAGCCACAGCTCTAAGACCCGTCTGAGTGCTGACTTCTCCATACCAAGCAGATGGAAGCTCTTGATTCCAAGCAGCCCTAATATTGTTTCCACCACCAGCACTGAACCTCTGGAGGCCTCCTCTACATACTCCTCCTCCGCATGTCCTGGGAGCTCCCCAGGACAGCCCTACACACATTCTCTGCATTTCATGGGTCGGACACCCTGTCCAGAACCCAGAAACAGCTCCCGACTACTCTCAGGTCAACTCCTCTAGCCCAATCCCAGCACATTCCAAGGATGGAGTATCTCTTGTCTTATCCCAGGGATTCTTCAGGTTTCTAGGGCTGCACATAGCTGCTTACCCTGATGCATGTAGCATGTGAGTAGATTTATAAGAAACGGACTTGACCACAACAGTTCCAGGAAGAATCTGAAGAAGCTATGCCACACCACACCCCCTCCCAGCTTATTTCTGAGAAGTTGGCTGCCAAGTCCCTCATGATGGTGGGGAAAAAATTCCCAGGGTGCTGGCTGCTTTATGGTTCTTCCTCCACTGGGACAGGAGTTGCCTAGGTCGCCAACCAGGAATGGGTCACGAACAGCAAGGCCCAGGTCTTAGGAGCCAAGGCAGAAAAAAGGATGAAGAACCATGACAGGAGTCCCCCTAGCCCACCCAAGCCCGCTTACTACCCTCCAGTACATGTCCTACTACCCACAGGAGAAAATCCGGACTCCTCAACGACTCCCAAGGTCGCTACCTTTCCAGCCTCACAGCCCTCTCACCCCCATGCTGTCCTCCAGTTACCCACACACCATGCCCTCTGCAGGAGACAGTCCATACACGTCCTCCAGGAAGCTAACGGAAGCATCCCAAGTCTCGGCTTGGATGTCACTTTTCTAAGCAGTTTCCCTGGGCCTCCATCTGGTAAAGTGTTACCTTTGCAGTCCTGTACTGCTGTTACAGTCACACTACGTCACTGCCGATACCCCCAAGGGAGGGCACAGGCCAGACCTTGCTCACTATGCTCTCCCCTGTGCTGTGCAGAAACTCACCAGGAAAGATGTGCGGTGAGTGAATGGGAGTGGCAGGCCTGCCTGGAGATCCTCCACCACCTGCTCTCCATTTCCTGCATGTGGCTGTGCACGTGCACACATAAGTCTGGGGACAGGGAGGGTGAAGCTGCACCAAAGATTCCCCTCAAACCAAAACATGGCTGAAAAAGCATCAGATAACCCCACGTTTCCTTCTGCCATGGCCCTAATTGCTTGGCATCAAATGCTAGCCTGAGAGGTGTCCCCAGATCCAGCCACCAGGCAAGCACTCACTGTGTGCCAGGCATGGGGCTGAAAAATTTATTTGCAATCTACTCAATACTTCTAGAAGGAAGGTACTGCTGCTTGTGCGAGGAAACAAGTTCAGAGTGCTCAAGCTGCCTGCCCTGGTCACAGCCAGGAAGAGGGGGACATGCAATTTGAGCCAGTTCAAAGGGCCCCACTGCCCCGCCTCTGGTGCACCCTGAGATCAAGTATGCTGTGAGGCACAAGGGATGGCTGGCTCTTGGACCTCAGAGTGGCAGGGCCAGTAGAGACCCCTGGCCCTACTCTTTGCAGCCCTGATATGCTGAGAGATGGTCCAAGGTCACACATCCTGGGTGAGACAGAGCTTATCAAGGAACAGCAGGTAGGACAAAAAGGAAGTTTGGATGCCCAGAGGAGTTGGACTAGATGTCTCATGCTGGGTCTCAGGCCCTTTCACTCAGAGGAAAGTTCTCTCCAGGGGGCCTTTCAGCAGCTGTTCCCTAGAACACAGAAACACCCTTCCTGCCAGGTGTGGTGGTGTGTGCCTGTAATCCCAGCTAGTCTGGAGGCTGAGGTTTGAGAATTGAAAATTTAAGACCACCCTGGGCAACTTGGTGAGACCCTGTCTCAAAGTAAAATTAGAAGGGTGGGGATGTGGCTCAGGAGTAGAGTAGTTCTGGGTTCAATCCTGAGTGCTGGAAAAAAATACCATGTTTTCTGGTTTCTTCTAGGGCACAACCCACTCACCTGAACCTGGGGGTCTTGCAGGCACGGGCTACCTCTGCCAGGACTCCAGCTCCTGGTAGGTCCTCCCCAGGCTGTGCAGGTGTAGCAGGTGAGAGACCCTGGCACCAATGCTAGGCTGTGTTCCTGATCCCCGCCCCACTTGTTTCTCCTGAGGAAAATACAGGCTTTGTTCTGAGTCCCTTTGAGAGCTCAGGCTGCTAAGAGACTGGGTGGGGCTATGGCCTGGCATCCTAATGGGAGAGTGGAAACTTTGAGCTGCAGGCCACCTCTAGCTCTGCTCTCCAACCTGTTCTACTCCAGCCCCTAGTAACTAAGAAAAATGTCCCTCCTGGGCCTTCCTGAGCTACTTCCCATTTAAGGGATCAAGATGCTCAGCCCCCTGGCTCACTACTCCCATTTCATAAAAGGGAAAGAGGCTAAGAGTGAGGAAGAGTCCAATCTTAGCTCTCAGCTGCCATGGTCCAAGACTGTAGTTGATGGATCAGTCACACTCCCACTGCAGAGGGTGCCCAGCACCCCTCCCTCCCCACACTGTGACCGCCTTCCTCCCTGGGCCACCTCAGCACTTTGTGCTGTGTCTTCTCTAGGCTGCTTTCCACTGAATTCAGCTGGCCTGTCTTTCAAGCCTTTTAGGTGCCAGGTGCTGTTACCTCATTGGATCCTAATACCAATCCCTCAAGACAGTCCCTATAGTACTCCCATCTGCAGTTGGGCACATGGTGGTACACTGTGATTTGCCCCACGCAAATGGTAAGAGATAGTGGGGGCCATGGCAATGGGCAAGTGGAGAAATTTGGGATCATAGTTTGAAGTAGAATGGAAAGCTCCAGCTTTCTTTCCCTTTCATTGGAAGTGGAATCCAAGGCAGGGGCTGGGTTTTGTTGAGGCCTCCCGAGGGGTGGCAGCCAGGAGAGAAATGGACTCAAGTTTTTTTGGCTCACACCACAATCCACCACCTCAACACTAGGTGCCTGCCGTAGAGCTTGAGCCTGGAGAGCAGGCTGGGGACAGGGCCTGGGAAGTCCTACCTGTGGGACTCAATGGTCAGTCAGGCCCAGCCAGGTCCCTGGAGGAGAGGGCAGAGGGGATGTCAGAGACACTGCCCTCAGGGGAGCGGGAGAAGACCCTCAACTCAAGCTGCAGAGTGAGACCAGAACCACTCTTGAGCCTGGGCAGGGGGGACCAGGGATGCCAAGGACTGCCCTTTGTATATATTCCAGATACCACGTCACAGCCATGCAGCCTCAGGCAGGCCACCAAGGCCCTGGCCTTATGACTGAGCACTGGACAGGGCCAGATAGCTCTGTAGCCCTCAGTGCAAGGCAGGGGCTGCTCTACTTGGACCCAGGTGGTCTTAGAAGGCCAGCTTTAGGGACCTAGGGACCGTCTCCTAGTTCCCATCTGTCCTGGCAGTCACAAGTACCTCACGCTGGGGAGACCTCTCCCTTGATCACAGCCCTGCTCCCTGCTAAGCATATATGAAACTTCTTCCTGATTGTGAGCTCTGGGAAGCCACGGCCCATCCAGCCAGGCTTGGTCCAGCCATGTTACTGAGCAGGTAAACTGAGGCGTCATGTCATCTAGGTTGTTAGAACCAAGGGAAGGTGGAACTTCCTGCTCGCCAGCCCTGACGGGGCAGGAGGGTAGGTAGCACAGACTCCAGCCTGGCCCTCCCTTGTGCACGGGTTCCCAGCTACAGCTGGCCGCACCCTCAAAGGTACATGCCAGAGCTGCCTACTCACCATGGCTGTCTGCTGCTGCATGGCCTGAGCTGCGAACCGGGCCACATGGTTGACGATGGGGGAGAAATTGGTGGGGCCGTAGAAGCGGATGTGGGGCAGACAGGCCGAGTATGCCTGGGCGATACCATCCACGCCTGCCTCGGAAGAAGAGTCTAGATCAGCTAGCACCCCCGGCCCTGTGCCTGCTTGTATTCCACTCCTGTTGCACTCACCCAAAATGCCAGGAGACTGGAAGCCCCAAGGGCAGGGCAAGGTGGTAAAAATCCAGAGCCCCAAATGTGGAGTCACACAGGCCTGAGCTGGAATCCTACCTTGGCCACTTCCTGGCTGTGGGTCCTGTCTCCTTGTCTGTCGGTGGCACTGATAATCTACACACTCTTGGGTGACTGGCATGGCAGGTCTGGCAGCCCCTTCCCAGAGAAGGGCTTGACAAAGCCTGCAGTGACCATGGGAAGCCATGTGGATATATCTACCCTGGACACCAGTGTTGGCTTGGGGAGGGGACTGCGATGTTTGCACAGCCCCTGTACACACGAGGTGCTCAATAATAGCTGCTGCTAGATAGAGCCCACAAATCTTCCACTGTCCTGTGCTCCTGCCCAGAAAGCTTCTGACGGGGCTGAAGATGAACAACTTACTTGACAGTCTCTGGAGATCAACCCTAAACCAGACAAACCCCTGAAAGAGCACAAGGCCACATGTCTAGATGTCCATGGTTTCCAAGTCACAGCAATGTCCCCAAGCTGGCAACTCAGTGGATTTCCTTTCTGAGCATAAATCTGGCCTGGCTTTGGGGATCCCCAGGGTAAGTACATGCTACAGCCCAGGCCAAATCCTAGGCTGACGAACCTCATAATAATGGGTACCACCCTCTTCCATACCTTCCTGGGTCCCCTCTGTCCCCTCTATCCCCTCCCAGTTTCTGAAATGTCCCTGGGAGGCTCAGAAATCCTCAGAGACCTAGAGTGGGGTGAATGTCCATTGCACTCACTGCCTGGCCCTGCCTCCAGGACCCCACTAGCTACCTTCCATCCTGGACTGCAATGGCTTTTCCTGAAGGGCTGGAGGGAAGGCTGGGCCTCTCAGCAGGGGAGTGAGATGGGCAACAGGAAAGATGTGTGATGTGCCCTCCTCCTGCTTTGCATGGGCTTCCTGTCAGCTGCTCCCTGTAATTCTCACTCGGCCACCCAGGGGAATGAGGTAAGCAGGGCTGACAAATCCTGAGGCAGGGAAGGGGGCAAACAAAGGCTCTGAGAGGTACAGTGACCTCTCTAAGGCCTTGCAGCCAGGGAAGGGCAGCATCTGGCCTTGATCCCAGCACTGTCTGACTCCAATAGCTCATTCCCACCTGTCTTTCTGAACAAGTGTGACAGGGAAGGAAAGTAAGAGAGGGACAGAAACCCTGCCCTCTGTCTCCTTCACCCAGAGAGATGGCCAGGTCATTGCACGTTTGGGACAGATGCAGGCAGGGTGCACTTACCCGAGCAGAAGGGGTTGGTGGGGTTGAAGTTGATGGCAAATTCATGGGAGACCTGAAATGCAAAGGACATGCTGAATTGCCCCAAACCTGGCCCAGGTCCCCTCCTGCCAGGCTGTGGTTCCTTAGAGGGCACATGGCTTTTTACCCTGCCTGTCCCACCCCAGCTCTAGGCTGCTGATCCTCCATATTGGCCTCCACCTCCACCTCCAGGGCTCTCAGAAGCCCCACACTCTCACTCCATGATGGGGAAACAGGCCTCCCACAGAACCCACTGGCATTCTGGGCTGCCTGTGGCAATGCCCTGTGGACTGTGGGGTACAGAGCACTAAGAAACGCCTCTTAATCCCTAAGGCCAGTGTATGAGGGCCCATAATCAGAGGGCTAGTTGCTCAGGCTCCCTAGACCTTGGCAGTAATTGAGGCACTTGGGAGGAAGCCCACCTCACGTGGCCACCTGGGGTTAGTGACGGTCACCGCTCAGACCAGGGGTTCAGTGGATCCATAGGTCTGATGGAGGATGTGAAGCTGTGCCAGTTTCCCCAGGGATACACCCCATGTCTCTGCTGCATGTCCCTACCCTGGCCTAGTGGGTCATGAAGACTGACCTCACACACTCCAGAGCCAATAGGGCCATTCACTGGGCTGGGCCCCAAACCCACTCTGCCAACAAAGACTGCACATCTGTTGTATGCCAGGTACTCGGACTCTGTGCCTTCCCCTAGAAGTTACAAGCAAATCACAGTGCTGTGAGGACAATACCTGGGGCAGGGAGGAGCCCTGTGAGTATGGTCAGGAAGGGTTCCCAGGGAGCAGTAGCTCCAAGCTGAGAAGCACTAGGGAAACTAGGGAAAGGGGCAACCAGTGGTGCAAAGGCCCTGGGGTAGGAATGCAGGAAGGAGGATGGTGTGGCAGGAACAAGACAAGTCAGAAAGAGAAGGTGAGGGGGCAGGAGGGCTGGCCTTCTGTTTAGGGCTGCTTCTCCCGCAGCAGGGTGGGTGGGACAGTGCATCTACCCTCTCCCAGCTCAGTTCCAGTGTCCCTCTTGGCACTGCTAGGCACTTGGCCTGGCCAAGCCTCAGCCTCCCCAGTGTTGCCCTGTGACATTTCCAAGGCTTTTGCTCAAGAAAACATCTCATTCAGCTGAGTTCTTTGAAAGCTGGCTGGTGTCCTAGCAACAGGCTCGTGCTGGGCCTGGCCGCACCAGCCTGCTCTGCCCCCCATGTGGTATCCTTGTGCTTACCCAGAAGCCAGCTCGGGCCCCACAGGATCCAGCCTCACACCGCACACAGCCCAGTGCCCACCCCTCCTGCCTTGGCCCCAACCACTCTGCAATTCGAGGCGCCAATTGGCCTCTCCAGAGGGAACTGGAGTCAGAAGCTCACTCTGTAAACAGGATGTGCCACAGCAGGACAGACAAGGGGGCACTTCTGAGACAGACGTGTGGACTTTGCAGTCCTCCGTGCCACCCCTATAGGCTGTTCATTGGGAGGCAACAGATCTGGGGAAGAATGTCTGTGGCTGTCTGGTTTTACTATGTAACCCACACTGGTCTCAAACTCACAGGATCCTCCTGCCTCAGCTTCTTGAGTGCTGGAATTACAGGCATGCACCTCCACAGCCCACCTTCATTGTGATGTAAAATTCAGGTGTCCCTGGGTGCCCCGTACTGCTGTTTGCTGAATCTGCCTCTGCTGCCCTAGCCAGGGTTCCAATACTACAGAAGCAGCTGAGATAGGAATTGGAAGTTGGCAGGGACCTGGCCCCCTGCCCAGGACCTCCAAAGCCAACCAGAGAGACCACACACACACACACACACACACCATCCAACCAGAGGTGACCAAGTCCAGCTCCACTCACCTTCCAGTCTGGGGGCAGCTGGGCCCCAAATCCCAGAGCAGGAAACATCTTATCACTGATTAGAGAGAGGAGAACACCATGTCACATCTGGCACTGCCACCCTCCCATGCTCTCCCCTGCTGAGCCCACCCAGGGGACCTTTCTGCCTTGCACACTTCTGGGGGCAGATGGACAAGCTCATCACCTCTAGAAAAAGCTAGGATAATCTGCAAGCCCAAATCCAACTCTGGGTGCTGGGTGAGCACATAGTTTGACTGTGCCCATCGTAGACATTGCTAATCAACAACAGCACCTCTAACCAGTGGGCCTTGGTGTGGTTTCTAGGTTCTTCTCAAACCAAAACCCCACAAAACCAATGTCATCATGGAAGCTGAGTATACTGGCTCCAGTCTCTCAGAACCATCCAACCAGAGGTGACCAAGTCCAGCTCCACTCACCTTCCAGTCTGGGGGCAGCTGGGCCCCAAATCCCAGAGCAGGAAACATCTTATCACTGATTAGAGAGAGGAGAACACCATGTCACATCTGGCACTGCCACCCTCCCATGCTCTCCCCTGCTGAGCCCACCCAGGGGACCTTTCTGCCTTGCACACTTCTGGGGGCAGATGGACAAGCTCATCACCTCTAGAAAAAGCTAGGATAATCTGCAAGCCCAAATCCAACTCTGGGTGCTGGGTGAGCACATAGTTTGACTGTGCCCATCGTAGACATTGCTAATCAACAACAGCACCTCTAACCAGTGGGCCTTGGTGTGGTTTCTAGGTTCTTCTCAAACCAAAACCCCACAAAACCAATGTCATCATGGAAGCTGAGTATACTGGCTCCAGTCTCTCAGGCTTTTGTTTAGGGCAGGAGAAAATTCTCCTAAAGTAAGAACTCTCATTTGGCACTCAAGTCCCTTCATTACTGACCCTAGAGCCTAGTTTTACCTTCTACCTATTCCTCACAAACCCTGGCCACTTGTAGTTCCTCAAACATACAGGGCATTTTTCATCTCAATTTCAATTCTGTTGTGCCACTACCTGAAATACTTGTCCTCACTCTGTTTCCCATAGCAAACTCCTACTTCATCCTCTATGACCCAATCAAAATGGCCCCTTCTTTCTGTGGGCTTCCCTGATACCCAATAATGCCTTTCTCTTTATGCTCCCATGGCTCTGTCTCACACATAAACTGGTCTCTCAGATCTCCAGTGATTTCTTCTTCCTCTTCTGTCCCCCGAGGGCAGGGACAGTGTCTCATCTGTTCATGTGTTCAACACACATTTATTGAGGATCCTCTGGCTGCCACTGGAGGACAAACTGTCATCGGCCAGGGCAGAAGTAGGGGGACCAGGGCGGAATCTACTGAAATGTGTTGGGCAGGAGGTGAGTGCAGCTCCAATTCAGTGTCCTGGGCTCTGGGGCGGGGGGTTTGCTAAGTCTGCATGCCCACAAGACAGCTTGCTGCAGAGGCTGTTCAGGTGGGCCCAGGGTCTCCGGATGGCTACACCAGGGTCCTCACCTGACCATGCAGATGGGAATCCCACCTCCCTTGCTCTGCAGGCTGTACCTCTTTTAATGTGGCCTAGGTGGTCACCGGTCATCAGGCTCACTCTCTCAGGGAGGCCCCACGCATACAGGATTCCCAAGCCTGCTCTTCCCCTATCTCCTTCCTCCCCCACAGCCTCCCAGAGGTCCCCACAAAGCACGGCCATGAGAAGAGTCCAGCATGCGGACCACTCCTTGGAAGTCCCCAGTAGGAGTGGAACTGTGAGGCTGGAGTGTCTGGCCCCAGCACCCTGATCTGTGCACATTTGGAAAATTCTCGGCTCCCACTCCCAGCCTCTATTTCCCCAGCTCTCCAAGGAGCTGCAGCAACAGCAAATGAGTCTCAGCTTCTATCCTGACTCATTTCTGTACTGGCGACTTGGTGTACTGTGACCAGAAGGATCCGGTTTGAGTAGGCTTGGCAGCTAAGAGTACAGCAACCAATTAGTGACGTCTGCCACAGGTAAGGGAAGGGACAGATCGGAACGCGTATCCACCGGCTGGATGTTCCTGGCTCGCAGACCTCTGGGTCCCCTCCAGCTCTGAGAAGCTGAGCCTCCCAGCTGAGGGAACCCAGCTGACCTTCCAAACCCTCTCCCAGCTCACCTGTCGTAGTCCTGGATGATCTGACCCACCGCCCAGATGGCCGACAGGTATTCATTGGTGCCCATGGGGTTGATGTAGTGCAAAGATGATGGGTCCAGGGGATTCCCGTTGGAAGCTGTGAAGTCTATTCCAACCTGCAGAGTGGGGTGGGGCAGGCCACCCAGAGTGGCCACTGACCTCAGCTCCCTGTCATATCCCCAGGAACAGGAGATGCTGATGGGGCCCGGGAAGCCCACTCTTCTTTCAGACCCACTTCCCCAGAGGATGACCTGAAACCTAGAAACTGATGGCATTATTGTGTCACTGCTCTAAGGCCCCTGTTGGGTCCTTAGACCCATGGCTTAGATCCATGGCTCCCTGTTGCCTAAGCATAAAGCCCAATGTCTAAATGCAGTACTCAACTAAAGCACAACCTACGATCCCTCTTTCTCCCCACCCCAAGCCATCTCCCCACTGTCTCTCAGTGTCTGAGGGCTGGAGATCCTGGCTTCCTGGCAGGGCACTGCCTGTCCCTGCAGTCATCTGGGTGCTCAGAGGAGCCTGGTCCAGGGCTGGGGACAGCACACAGAGTTGGTGCTCAATGGAGACAGGGGGGCTGAGGGATCTGGGCGCTCCCTGTTTTCTCTGCCCCAAGGGGATTCCAGCCCAGCCCCAAGAGGGGCAGCACAGGATGGACAAGCATGGCCCCTGCTCAGCAGGGGAGGAGCAGGACAGGGGTAGGGGGAGAAGGCCACTTTGGAACTCGGTCACTCTGGGGGAGGCACCATGACATCCTCATAGTGCTGGAGGGTCAGCTCCCGCGGTGGGCTTGGCACGTCTTAGTTACCACGGAGAGCTCGGCATAGAGGAGCTGGGTGTACAGGTGCCAAATGAACACCTCCCCACCCACACCCCAGCCAGGAAGCATGGGAAGGCTGGGCCCCTTTGCAGAGAGGGAGGCAGAGGAGAAAGTGGGGTTAGAGATCAGCAAGGCCAATCCCCTGACCCTGCAATATCCCCAGCTCCCTGAGATCTAGTGGTGACAGCAGAGAGGCAAAGAGGAAGGTAGGTGTAGCGAGGCATCTGAGGCTCCTCCCCTTAAGCCCTGAGGACACAGGAGGGCAAAAGGCCAGGCGAGTGGTTCAGTGTATGGGGTGTGTACTCTGGGCTGCAGGCAAGGTGGCACATTGTTCTGTGGACGGTGACCACTGAGCTCCGGCTCTGTGCACGACACAGAGGCTGAATGGGAAGCAAAACACACTAAGTCCCCAACACACAGCACTCACAGGCTGGTGGGGAAGGGCCCAACAGGGACAAGTGAAAACACGTAAGGTGACTTCAGAGAGGGCAAGTGTATGACCACGGGAACAATCCGGGAAGATCTCCCTGAGAAGGTGGCACAGAGCCTGGGGTGGGAGGAGGACAGACAGGCATGGAGTGCCTGGAGAGCACGGCGAGGAGGACGTGGTCACAGACACGGCAGCAGGCAAGGGAGGGAAGCCTGGAGCCAGCGGGAGGAACTGACGTTTCTCTATAGAAGGTTTTAGCTAAGACACTGGGAGCTCTGGGCTGTGTCCTGACATGGGGACAAACCCCCTGTGCCTTTCCTCTCCGGCCACAGACACTCACACCTCAGGGAAGTCCTGCAGCCTATCCCAGGCCCTTCCTGCTGCAGCACTGGCCTAAGCCCACAGGGAGGAGCAGCAGTGGGGAGAGGGGAGAGAAGGGGCAGCTTACGGTGAACATGAGCTGGCAGCCTCCCAGGATATAGTCTAGGAAGGAGTAGTCTCGGTGTATCTGGAAGAAAGGAGGGAGTCACTGGGTTCCCTGGTCTTGGCCACAACTGCCTTAGGGGAGGCCTTGCTCTAGGTCTTGAAGTCCTAGTAGGACAAGGAAGCGAAAAAGGCAGATGGGCCTAATCTGATTACAATCAAACCCAAATCTCTCCATCACAAAGCCCTCAGAGCAACGGCCCCAATGGACATGGACACACACACACACACACACACACACACACACACACACACAGAGATGTGCGGAGGATTCCAGGCAGGGTCCCAGGACCCAGTACCAATTGCTCTTGCCAACTACCAGACAAAGTCCTCACTGGCCTTCACTCCTCCAGAACTTAATAAAGCTGTTAAACACTATTTGTTTTGCAGGCCTTGCCTCCTGCCAGCAAAGCACACTGCCCTTTCAGTTTCAGCAAAGTCTATAAATGTATTTAAGTTAACTTTAAAAATGGAGAAAGGCTGAATGGAAAAAATAAGTACGGCAGGTGCCAAAAAGAATATGAGTGGTGGAAGTTTCAGAAACAATGGCCTAAATTGTGCTCTCTTGCTGCAGTGTCACTAAAGGTCCACACGACTCCAAGTGTCAGCTGGGCCCCAAAAGGAGGCCTGGCACCTGGATCAGCACCCACAGAGAGCAGCATAAGACTTTCTCTTGTCCCACCTCTGGCTGCCTTCCTCCATTCCACAAGACAAGCCAGACCACAGCCCAACCTCTGTTGCCGGGAGACTCATCCCTCTCTGGGCCTCAGTGGCCCCAGCTCTGCCATGGGAGTCACAGCCACTGCGCCCTCACTGAGGACAAGGGGTCAGGAGCCCCAGTGGACCTTTGCCCACTGCCCACCATGCAAGGAGTGAGCCACCAGCATGGACTGTGGTGGCTCCTGTAGTCCCCAACCTGGAGAGACCCAGGAAGCCACCTCAGGCCCTTGGCTCCCATATAGGTAAGTGGCATAGGGCTGACCCTTTAAACATTAGGCCTTGGTAACACCTCCGTACTCCAGGTGAGGGGCCTGAGGCCCACAGGGGAGAAGTTCAGAAGGCCAAGAGCCAGGCTCTGCCAGAGGCAGGATCTGAACCCAGCCCTCACCAGCTCCACACCCAGAGCTCTGTGTATCCCTCTGCAGTGGTGCCCTCTGTGTGGCCCAAACCTCCTGCCCACCCCTGCCATGGGCTCACCTTACAGGAACGCAGGACGATGATGCCTGAGTTCTTGTAGCTCCTCTTCTTTCTCTGCTTCTTGGGGTTGATGCACTCCAACTCCAGCTGAGTTCCAGGAGTAGAAACAGAGGCTCAGTGGAGGGTTTCTGGGGACAGATGCTCCCCAAGGCCCCGATAGCCCCAGCCTTGACACAGGGCAGCTGCCTTCCCCCGACAGCTGTGTAGGCACCACACCAAGAGGGTCCTCAACTGCTTCAGGGTGTTAAGTGACAGCTCCAGACCCCTCTCTAGGGTAGCACCCTATCTGTAGCATCATCCCATCTCAATCCTCTATCCCCAGTGACTAATGGGGAAACTGAGGCTGGGAAGACTGAAAGTCTTGCTCAAGGTCATGCAGCAGGAAGAGGTGGCATCTGAGCCCCACTCAGCCTCACTCAAAACTCCGCCATGCCCCCTCCAGCCCCTGTGGAGAATGTGGGGTGTCCATCTTACCGGGATGCCATCACGGGCCTCACACATCTGTGACACCGTTGTCTGCAACTCGCCGATGAAGTCATGTCCCCCGTCATTGTCATAATCATAGCACATGACCTGGGACAGATCCAGCATCACCCCAAAGCTATCTCCAAAAGGTGCTTTCCTGCCCCTTTTAGCTTCCTGAGCAAAATCCTCCTGCCCCAATCTTCTGTGCAAGCATTGCTCCCCCAGCACCTGCCCAGCGGGCTCCAGAGCAGATCCGCCTCCTGCAGGGAGCCCTCTGTCACTGCAGAGGAGGAAATGTGCCCCCAGGTACAGGGCCAAGTACACCAAGGCAGGAAGCTGCCTCCTCACAACTGACACCTGGCTTCTCCTGCCTAGGCTGGATCCACCTGGCTGTGGGCCATGGTCTCAAACTCTCTCTAGCTGACCCATCCAGAATGGACACAGAACCCCACCTTACATGTTCTGTAACTCAGCTGCCTGGATTCGGAGGAAAAGTAGGGATTACTGTGCCCACCGTACTGATGGGGAAACAGAAGCTCCAAGGGAGAAGCATGCCAAGACTAGAAGCCAGGTTCCCTGGAATGCGACCCAGGGCTGCCTGTCCTACCTAACTGCTTCCCTCAGCCCACCTGCTCACAGACCCAGTCCCTAGGACTGAGTGCTTTCAGTCCTGTCCTCCCCATGCAACATTTGATCATTTCTGAGGTGTTCCCACATCCACGATCCTAGCTAGAAGCTCTGCATCCCTCCAGGAAGGGTGGCAACTTTTACAGTGGGAAGCTGGAGCTGGCAGATGGGAGCAAGCCCTGGAGGCCCTCACCTGGATGGGCTTGTTCATGTCCCCATCACACAGGGACACCAACGGCACAGTGAATGGCTTCCACACAGGGTCCAGTGTGTACTTGATCACCTGTGGAACAGTGAGGGGCAGCTCTGGGGTTGGGCCAACCCAGTGAGGACAGACAAGAGACCCACAGTCACACTTCCGGGTTAGAGGCAGGTATCCCTGTCACCAAGTGCATAGCTGAGCTGGCAAGGATGGTTGAACGGCAGATCCCAAATACCCACCTCAGTCCTGTGGACCAGCATCCATTTGCCATCGTCCCCTGGCTTGTAAAACTCAAGAAATGGGTCTGACTTGCCAAAGAGGTCCTGCAGATGGGGGAGGACACAGGTGAGGGACATGACCCTAGCAGATGTAGGGGTTTGGGGCTGATGCTTAGCTGCCTCTCCAACCCAGAGTCAGGGTGAGAGCTGCAGACCCAGACAGCCAGGCAGGTCTCTCCCACCTCGGTATCTGCAAGGCCAGCCACAGGCTTGGAACTACAGTCCCTGGGACCAGTGACCCCCAGCTCCAAAATAAGGCTTCCAGAGGTGTGATCAGAGACCCTAAGACTCAGGGCCTGCAGGCATAGAGCTGAAGCATCCACCACAGGGCAGGACTTCATGCCTCCTTGGGCTGGGGTGCAGCACACAGACAGAGCTCTTGTCTGGCGTGAAGGCCCTGGGCCCGTCCCAGCACCACGAAACAACAACAACAACAAAAAAACAACAAACAAAAAACAGTGCTGCTACTCGTGCAGGGCCAGGGCCCAGTGGAATACGATTTTATGTTGCCAAGACTCTGGAAATCCAAATCTATCCTACTACTGAAGGGATGTGATGCCCTTTAAAAATTCATTTAAATTTTTAAAAAATGGCAGAGAGGTTATATGCAAGCGAAAGGCACCGAAAGTAAAATAATGCCTGTGAGAAAGGAAAAATTGTCAAGGTGGCAAGTAAACTGGGAGGAGGTAGGTCATTGAAGGCCAGTGCCATTTCCAGAAGGCCTCACAGAGGTGATGGGGAGACGGGCTTATTGCAGGGAGGGTACTGTGAGATCTTCAAGGAAGGGGGTTGTAGGCAGAGGAAGTGGCAAGTACAAAGGTCCTGAGACAGGAGCATCTGGTTTAACCTGGTGACAACAGGTGGGGGTGTGGCTCAGTGGCAGAGCCCTTGCCCAGCAGGTGTGATGCCCTGGGCTCCACCCCCAGCACTGCAAAAATAAATAAGCCTGGGGACAGCAAGGAGGCTGCTTTAGCTGAAGCAGAGTGAAGGAGGGGAAAGACGAAGAGGTGAGGTCTGGAACCGGCACCAGAGGCACCAGGTAGAAGGGGCCAGCCAGTAGAGTAGGTAAGAATGCTGCAGTTTACATCAAGTGTGATACAGCGCTTCTGTGAGTGGATTTCCAGCTGTGGTGTGGTTGCTTGTATGTGATGGGGAGCTCACTGCCTTGTTGGTAGCGGTGTGCTAATTCACAATATGCTGCTCTTGTCCTCAGGGAGTAAGAGCTGCGGTGGCCAGAGAAGGCTGGGCTGGGGAGGGACACCGCCCTGGCAGAAACACCCTCCCCTTGCTGCCTTACCTTCTTGTCCAGCTTCCTGCCTGCCAGGCTCAGCGTGATGACCCGGTTGTCTGACAGCTCCTGGGCAGCAATCTGCAAGATCCAGGGTCGTGAGGGGAGGGTCACTCCTTCTCCTTCCCCTGCCACTTCCCCCTGTGCCCACAACCCAACTCTGAAGGGCTGGGGGTGGTGAAGGAGGAGAAGGTAGGGCCTCAGACAAATCTCTTGTCCTCTTTAAACCTCTGTTTCCACCTTCTGGAGAAAAAGAGGCATGGCCCATCTGGATATGAGGCATCAGCAAATAACCCTGAGGCTCAGGACAGGGGACATGGGTGGCGGTGGAGATGACATGGGGCTGGATGAGGAGGGTGGTCCAGAAACACGGGGAAAGGTTTCAGGGCAGGGAGCAGAATGACATGCCTCCTTCTGCCCTCAGCAGCTCCCGAGGACTCAGAGCACTGAGAGGTCAACAACTACAGCCTCTTCGCTGTGCACCTGGGGAAAAGGGCCAGGGGAGACCCAGGTTCCCCCTGCTGTCTCATGGGCTCACACCAGTCATCTGTCCTCCATCCTTCCCCATGGTTCTCAGAGCCAGCTCAGCCAAAGATGCCCAGCCAGTGATGCCCAGCTGGTGACACTTAGGCTGCTGAGAACCCTCTCTGGCCCTCTCTCTCCTCCCCTTTCCATAGAGGGGCAGGAAGCCTTCGGGGCCCCAGCCACGCAATCAGGCTGGGTCCTCTTCCCGCTGGGGCATCCTCCCCTATCCCTTGTGCCTCTAGATGGCCTCTCCCAGGCAAGCCATCCGTCCCTCCCTCTGGCATCATGGCCCAACTCTTTCTAGGTCGACCTTTCTCCTCTTCCTGTCCTCCAGCTGAGACTTGCCCAACCACACTATGGGGCAGGGCCCCCTTTTCCAGAGGAGGGAACTGAGTCCCAGCGTAGAACGAGTAGAAATGCTGAGGGTGGAGTGGGGGTCTCTCTAGGTCAGCTTTCAGTGTGGGAAAGCTGGCCTGTGAACGCCATTAGACAGGGTGACTTTGAGCATCAAGAGGTAAAGGGGCAGAAGTAGACGATCTAGGAGCCAGGACCCTGGCGGATTAGGGTCCAGGGAGTATTCAGGATGCTACAAAGTTAGTTTGCCCTGAACCCAGGGCATTTGAGTGAAACAGTAGGGAATAACGGGCAGGAAAGCAAATCAGGAGGGATGGGTCCTACACATCTTTGAATGGGTTTCCACAGGTAGCGAGGAGCCTTGGAGGTTCCCAGAGCAGAGGAGAAAGGGCCATGGGAACACAGGAAGGTGTGGAGCTCTGCCCTCCGGGGCTCACGCCCCATGCCTCATAGGACTGGGGGTGACCCCACCAGCCCAGCTGCCCAGGGGCATCTTTTCTGGGTCTCGCTTCCCTCATCTATTAAATGGGGCCCTGCCTTCTGGGACCATGAGGACAGAGGAGCTCATCCCCTTGCTGGCCTGCACACTGGAGGAATCACTGTGCATGGCAGATGCCAGCAGAGCACGGCATGGCAAGCACATCTGAAAGGGCCCCGAGGAGGGCGGGCAGTGACCAGTGTGGGGAAGGGGTCCTGGGAGGGCTCTGGAGGCTCCAGGGGAGAGTAGGAGATCCTGCCTCAAGCTGCTTTTGGGGCCTCTGACTGTCCCCTCCAGCTCAGCAGCCTCCAGGGAATCATTTGTGGAGCTAGGAGCCCGTTGCTAAGAGACCTGTTGCTAAGTTGTAAGTTGGGCCTTTTTACTCCAAACAAAGCTGGTGATTATCTGCCAGAGAGGCGGCCCATTGATGGGGGAAGGCAGCGGGTGGAGGCGGAGGGGGATGTGGAGAGCTGAGAGGGGGCTGGTACCGTAATCAAGCCCTTCCCTGCTGGCTTGTCATTCATCAGCAGCAGAGGCCGAGTGATCTTCTTGCTGGAGACGATCTGGGGCGGGAGAGACAGAGACAGAGAAAGGAGCTCAGCAAGGTGGGAGGACAGATCATCAACAAGCACACTCTGCGCACTGCCTCCTGCCAGTATTAGCTTGGGCAGCCAGCAGGATGGGGCCCAGAGAGGTTAAGACACTGGCCTGAGGTCCCCCACTAGGAGAGAAATCCTGGCAGTCTGGCTCCCCCGACCTGGCTGGCCCCTGGAAAGGTCCTTGCAGGTCTCGGGGTGTAGGGCCAACTGCAGAGTGCAGCCCCCCTCGGTGCTCTCCCCATGTGTCATACACAGAGCCCACCCTCCTGACGCAGAGGTAAAACGTCCATCCCTTGTATGTATTTCACTGTCTTCAGTGGGTAACAAAAGCCTATGGGATTCAACAATCCAAACACACAATACAGAAGGGAAAAGGGGAGCACACTGAAGAGTGCTCCTTCCACTGGGCCCCCTCCACTGCGTGCCCTCCAGGAGCTACTCCTGTGCCCCTGGTCACACAGCTGCCTGTCCCCGCCTTCCCTGGGTGGACATGGTTGGGACCCCTTGGGCCAAGCCCTGGGCTGCTTTCCTCCTGGCCCTCTGTTGGCTCCCTGCCCCCTCCACAAATCCTTAAGCTGTTCTGTAGTTACCCTTTGAGGGTGTAGACACACAACAGGGACTCTTGACTGCTGTACCAGGCTTCTTACAAAAAAGGGGACCTCACTGATCTCCAGGGTCCAACTATGTTTTCATAAACATCATCTCCTGGAGGCCAAGAGCACTTCAGCCTTCACCACCTCTCAAAGCATTTTCTATTATTCTCTCACTTTTCCTACAGGCCGGGTGGAGCAGTCGTCATTAAGTACAATGTGGGGAAACTGAGGCCCAGAATGAGGTAGGGGCTTGCTCATAGGAACACAGCCTTAAGGGCTAATTGGGACTTGTGTCAGGGGTTCTTAGTTCTTCCCCTCCTAGCAGCAGCTTACCAAGGACTGAGCTGAATAGGAAGTGTGGCTCAGAGAGGGAAAGGAAAGGCCCAGGGTTGCACAGCAAGTCAGCCACAAAGCGGGATCACTTGCAGCTACTGTGGCTGCTGGCTGATGCTCCCCAGGGAGACAAGACCACACCTGATGACTTCCAAACATCAATAGCTCTGGCCACATGGGGCCCCAGCTCTGGTGTGGCAGCAGCTGGCCAGCACCCCATCTGGCTGCCCTTCAGCCTGGCCTCAACCCACCTGGCCACACAACCCCACCCCCCGCTCTCCAGGCTATCTGCATCTGCACCTGGAGAAAATGGGGCCTAGCCAGGAAAATGGGGCCAAGAAAAGTAGGTGAAAGGAGAGGGTTCCCAAGGGGCTGCCCTGGGCTGTTGACATCTTGGGGTACTGCCCTGCTCCCACCCACCAGGAGGGGCCTGGCTCACTGTGCCCAAGCTGCAGGAGAACTGGCCCAGGAAGTCATGCTCATCGAGCTGCATGCTGGACTTGTCCTGGTCAAACAGGGTGAACTTGAGCTTCTGCACCTCTTCAAAGTGGTAGTCGAGGACAAATTTCTTGGAGAACGCGGGGTTGAGGTTGTTGATGGCTGTTTCTGTCCTGTCGTACTGGCAGATGGGCAGGGAAAGAGAAGCCAGAGTCAAGGTGGCCAGAGGACTCTGGCCAGGAACCATTCTAACTCACTGAGCACCTACTCTGTGCCAGGCACACACGGTCACCTACTGTGTGGCTAAAGCCCACGGACAAGGAGCAGAATCATAGGCTAAATGATTTACGACACTGGACAGCGAGTAAAGCAGGGCCAAAATTCAAAACCCAGATCTGACTCTAACATCCACGTTCTTTTTTCTCCACCCTGTACCAGAGACTTTTCCACTGAGCTACAGGCACCATCCACTCTTCAGCCCTGGCTCCATTCCCAGGTGTCCGTGTCTGGGTAGGTGACAGGAGGCAAGTCACTCTGTCCACCTGGGCATCACTTCTACACAATGAAAAGATCTGACTATGTGCCATTGTCAGACTTTATACTTTGGGAAAACCCTTTATTTAAACCATACTTTACCTGGCAGTAGAGAGAGGAAACAAGAAGAAAGAAGGTCCCAGGGGCAGATGTATGTATCTTGCACAGACTCTTGGAATTGTACAGCCCAACATGCCCCAACCTGCAGACCTAAAGCCTGGGAGAGGACAAGGCCCTGCACTGTGGGTCAACAGTGGCACATGGGACTGGACCCCATTTCTTGGCCTCTGGATACTGGGGCCCCTAACCTCAGAGTCTGGGTGGCAGTCTATTTCAGGACCGAAGCTGTGTTGACTCTTTCTTCCACCCAGTCTAGTTCCAAGGCTTCAGCAGCAGGAATGGAAGAGATCTTGGCCCTGAGCTATTTTTAGGCAGGGTGACCATGGGGTGGGACCAGAGACTACTGGGCAGGTGGGTGTATCAGTATGGGGAACGCCCTCAAGGGCATGCAGGGTTACAGGGACCTGGCAGAGGGGACCAGTGTCCTAGAAATGCCCCCGAGACCTGGGGGGTTCCCCGAGGAGTCCTGGGTGACTGCCAGTCATATCCTCACTTGCAGCAGCACTGTCATCGAACTGGGAAGCACAGGAAAGTCCCTTCCTGCTCTAGGCCCCATTTCTAAAATGGGTCAACAGCCCAGATTCATTTGTTCTGGCCTCACAAGAAGGAGCCAACATCTGAGGAGACTCTCTGTAAACAAACCACAGTGAGTTTAGGCACCACCATGGCCCAGTTAAATATTTATTTAAAAAAGAAATATATATTTTGGAAAATAAACATGCATATAAAACTATCCAGAGGGCTGGATACCAAACTGTGAATAGCAGTTCTTATAAGTGGGTTCTAACCATTTGATTGTCTTTGTTAGGTTTACATAAATTTTCTAAGTTGACTACAATGAATTCAGTTTCCCTTTGTAAAGGGAGATAAAGCTTTAAAAGCTGAATGTGTGAGCCACTCAGGTTTTTCAGTATCTTTGCTCATGCTGCATCCTTCCCTAGGCCTCGGGCCAGAATCTTCCAGCTTAGAAGTCCCTGGCCAGGACACCATGGATATCCTAAGCTCTGGGAACTTCCACTGCAGGCAGGGGAAAATAAAATCCCCATTTTATAGATGAGCAGAAGGTTCACACAGGGACAGCCACTTGCCTGAGGCCACATAGCAGGACACTGCATGGCTGGGACCTGGGACCTCTATGTGTTTCTTTACTTTTCACTGTGTTCATTTAGAAATAAAGTTTATTTAAAAGCTGAAGTGAGTACTTTATAAAACTATATAAGTTTTAAGCTATAACTTACCATGATATAAAATTACATAATTGTAAGTATACATCTATGGATTAGAATTTAACTTAGACACAATATAATTAAGTAATATTTTAATTATACTTAAATTTTTAATGTTAAGAGTAAATATTCTCTGGAACTTTCCTGCCACCAACCCACATTCCAGCTGTTTCCAAGGCCTTGATTCCAGGGGTTCAGTGGACCCAGTGGGAGCCCCCACTGCAGACACACACAGGGACCTCACCTCCATCCACCTGCCATTACTCTCCGTGAAGAGGACACAGAAAGGGTCGGACTTGGAGGTGACATCCCGGTCCAGCAGGTTCTGGCCACTCACAGACAGCTCCACCTTGCACACGCAGTATGGGGAGCCCACGGGGGCCGCCCCCGCCACTGGGGCGCCCCCGCCTGGAGTATAGGCCATGGGGGTCGGTGGTGGTGGCAGCAGCAGCTCCTGGCAGTCTAGGGGAAGGAGAGCAAGGGTCAGGTGGGGACAGACCACTCTGCTGCCTGCCATAGGTACATCCCCACCTGATCGTCAAGAAGGGGTAGGTGGGAAAGGGGCAGGGCAGTGATTTTCTCAAAGGCTCGGAGAAAGGAGAATGTGGGGAGATGTACAACAAAGGTGTCTCTGCGGGGTGTGCTTAGTTTGCTCTTGAAGTTCTTTCCTGCTTGGGTGGGTCTTTAGCTGTGAGATTCGTACAGGTCCCTGTGTGTTGCCCATGTCAGGTCAGCAACAAATCACAGTGCACGCAGGCATCCCAGACACTTGGCATGCCAGGAAGAACCAGCTTCTCCTGAGCAACGAAGATGTTGGCATCTTGTGGCTACTATGGAGAGTATGCAGGCTCAGGTTTCCCTCATTGCTGTGGTGACTAGAGAGCCCACTCCTGGGAACTTACTCAGATTTAGACCTTGGTCATTGTCTATCATGTTTGTCTTGTATCTCTAACCCAAGAACCAAGGCTGCAGAACAAGAAACACACATTTGTTGAATGACAGAAGGATGAGTGAATAAGTAAATGAATGGACAAGCCCTCCATATCACTCAGATCCTCCTGACTTGATCCTCACCTGCAACTGAGAGCTGACCCTTCAGTCACTCAGGAGTTCCCCTAATCCCAAGCCATGCGCCTTGGCACCCTTCTGTCAAAGCCAGTTACTGACATTTGCTCCTGTTAAGCAGTCCTCTTTTTGAGGACACAGTGCTCACTTGGAGCAGGAGTGAAGGAACCATCTCCGGGGTAGAAGTGAGGTCTGGACCCACCTAGCACAGACCCTGTAGACAAGCTGGCTGGCTCTCTGTGCCTCAGTTTTCTATCTGTCCATGCAATACCACGACACAGTTCTTCGAGACTCTTGTGGTCAGATCTTATTTCCCCTGGTGCATATGCATTTAACACAGGCCCTGTTGCCTAGGTGGATGAGTCCAGTTCCCAACGCATGCTCCACAAGGGCCAGGCTCCAACTCCTCCACTTATATTTTGTCCCCTTGCTGTTGAGTGGATAACTGTCCCCAGAGTGGGGAGCTGAGAGTGGCAGCTTCCCTCTGGGAACAGAACCCAAGTCCCTGTGCTTGACAGCATTGATAGCACATCCCCTGCACAGCGCCTGGAATCCCCGTTCAGTCTTGTTGGGCAAGAGGTATCACTGTCCTATTTTCCAGAGGAGGAAATGGACTCGCCCATTCATTTCCTGTGGAGCCATTCAATCCGTGCCAGGGCTGCGGATCCTGTGGGAAGAAGTCTGCCCTGTCTCAGCCCCCACAGATTCCCCGTTCCAGTCTGGATGAAATGGAGTGAGCAGCCAGGTTCTGTGGGTGAGGTAGGCCCTGATACAGAGCTGGGCTTCAGTCTGAAAGTGATGGGAGGTCTTGGAGGCAGAGAGATGATGCGATCTAATTTACCTTTTTGTTTTATTCTGTTTTGCAGTGATGCGGTTGAATCCAGGGCCTCCTCATTCATGCTAGGCAAGCGCTCTACCACTTAGCTATATCCCCTGTCCTGAGCTATATCCTCAGCCCTGATCTACCTTTTGAAAGCTCACTCGGGCCCTGGAGAGAGTTGCCATCAGCTGCTGTTGTCCAGGCAGGAAGAACCAGGCCATGGCACCAGGCTGCCGCTTCTCCCTATGACCTGGGCCACAGCTCCTCCTCCAGCTCAGCTACAGGCTCCCTTTTCCTTCCAAACACAGTGCCCCGCCAGGGCCTGCCTGGCAGGGAGAGGATCTGGACACTGAGGAAAGCAGTCCTCAGCTTCCTTTCTCCCACCACCTGTCCCCAGAAGCTCATCACAATCACCCAAGCCCAGAGTGTCAGGGCAGCACTGCAATTTGCCGGCAGGATTTATTCTTGTCATGTAAAAATCCTTTTCCACTGGAGGGGCAGCGAACTGTGCCCTCTCACTGTGCACAGCTGGGAGTGAGCTGCGTGCATGCGTGTGTTCGAAGCAGGGAGAGCAGATCTTTAACCAGTGAGGGGCCGGGGAGATGTCCATCCCTTGGGCATGGATAAGAGTGCCTTTTTATCCCTATACCTGCCCCAAGGTGCAGAATCTGGGGCAAGATGAGCATCCCCATTTTACAGATGAGGAAACTGAGTCCCAGAGTACTCAAGTTACTGCCCAGGTCACATGGCCAGGAAAGAGCAGTAGCAGAGCGTGAAGTGGGTCTCTGGGCTCCCAGGTTGGTGCTGGGCCTTCTTACCAGGTTGAAGAGATTACTGGGGATATGGGGACAGCCAGAGAATCCACCAGTCCAGGGAAGCGTGGGCTGAGAGGGAAGGGTCAGGCCCAGGGCGGCAGTTGGGGAAGCCGAGGACACGCTGCCACTCCAAGTACCCAGGGCTCAGAGCACGCGGGACCACCAGCTCTTCTGAGGTCACACTGTCCACAGCCCTGAATCTCCTACCATCACTCACTGGCACCCGAAGTCCAGCTCTCCAACCTCCTCCCCACCTCACAGGTCCCTCCGTGACATGCGAGGTGATGTGGACACCAGCCCCCGCTTCAAGGGAGACACTTCTGTTCTCAGCAGGAGAAAGGCCAGGCAACACACCCAGCTTCGTCCCCTGCCCTGTCCAGAACACACCCGAGACTGGTCACACAGACACAAGCACCCAGGCTAACAAATGCAAAGGCACATGCCTGTTGAGCACGCCTGTCCCTGTTGGGTCCTCTCCCGGGTCCAAACCCCAGCACCTTGCCTTGGTCACCACACTAGTCTCCCACCCTCACGCTCTCCTGTCTGGCTGGTGGCGTGGGAGGGAATTCCTCCTCTACGCTGGGGCAGGTCCCCCACTTTTAACTCACCCTCTGGCAGGAAGCTTCTGGAGGCCCGAAACGGGGAGCACATTATGTCTGAAGTTGGGGCAGGTGGGGGTCAGAGTGGCCGTGGGTGCCAGCCCGGCAGCGGGCAGGCAGACTGGACCCTGAGGTCTGACGCAATGGAAAAAGAAACCACAGTTCAGGCTGGGCCAGGCCCCCTCCCCTTCTGCCCCAGCAGGAGACAGCAAGGTGTCATTAAGGGAGGGCTGGGTCTGCCATGCGCATGTGGGCAAGATGGAAGGCTTGGGACATTGCCCGCCCCACCCCGCATGTAATTTGAGGTTTCAGGCTGGAGGAGGGGGTATGTGGAGCCAGGGCCTGCTCGAGGGATGGTCCTGACTCATGGCACAGGTGGGCACAGGCTTCTGGGTGATCAGACTCCCTGGAAGGAGCGTGGAAGGTGAGGATACCAAACCAGCAGTTCCTTTTACAAACGGGTTAACTGGGACAAGTGGAGGAGTCTGAGACTCCTCAGTCGTAGGTTTGTGCATTCATTCAAACATCCTCTGAGAAGCCTCAGGCTGTGGCAATGGGTAAAGCATAGAGCAATGGTGGCGAACCCATGGTACGTGGCTGCAGCAAGCACACAGAGCCCGCTCCGCAGACATGCGAGCCAAGCTGCCCAACATCACCCCAGCATCAGATAACAGCACACACAGGGCAGCATTGGCATCTGGGGATAATAGACACTAGGTCTCTAAAAGGCTCGCCATCCCTGGCATAGAGGGTTCAGCCTCCACCAGGTCCAGTGCTCCAGCAATAAAACACCCTGCCATAGGGCCAGGACAGGATCTGGTGACTCTGGTCCTGAGCACTATGGCTTTAGCCAGAAATCTGGGAGCCCGTGGTCCTTGACTCCTCTTACCATCTCCTCCCATATAACACAGTACAGCCTACCCCACCTCCAAGTTTTGTCCAGCATCCATCTGCCTCTCTCCACTTCCTCTGCTGCAGGCTGGCCAGGCTCCTATCATCCCTGCCCAGCCATGCCCCAGCCCATGATGGGTGTCCCCATTACAACTCACCCTCCCAGACTAAGGCAAGAAAGAATTTTTAAGCATATAAATTCAATACTGCCATAGCTCTACCTGAAACTCTTTCAAATCTTCCCCTTCCAGCTCACAAAGACCCTCAATCCTCTCCAGGCCAAAATGACTTGATCCCATCTCAGACCACATTTCTCTGGCTCCCTCTGGTCTGGCTATACCACTTCACCATACTCTGTGAATATGCTGTCTCCTGCCTCAGGGCCTTTGCACTTATTGCCCCTGTTGCTCAAAATGCTTTTCTTCCCATTAAGAGTTGTCCCATCCTCTGAGGCCTTTCCTGATCACTTGGACTAATGAAATCGGTCTCAGCTCCATGCTGTCTTCACTGATCACTGTGTTGTACCTTCATTTTACATATTTGTCTACATGTCTTGACTTTGTCATCTGTAGGTTCCCAGGGAGGCACCAGTACTGTTTCTCCAGCATGAGAGTCCTGTCTGTACTGAGCAGGTGTTAATGAATGTGCTATACGCGCGAGGATGCAGGCACCCTGCAGGCAGGTCCTTCCTCTGCAGCACAGACAGCAATGCCTCTCTATGCACGGTGCTGGGAAGATCACAAAGCCACTTTGAAAACTCTGGACCCTCATAACTGCTCTGACAGGACAGCAATAGGGGGGCTCAGTTCATGGGAGAAACCGAGACCTAAAAAGGACAGTGGTTTTTCCAAGCGAGGACAGGATGTGCCCAAGCCCAGAGCCCAGGCTGCTATGATACCATCCCAGCAACGCAGGTCCCAGGAGTTAGCTGCAGTCCACGGGGCTCACTGTGGGGAGAAGCTGCTGAGCAGGCTGGGTGGTGATGGGGAGACACCAAGAGAGGCAGGTGGCAAAGGGAAACCTGAAGACCCAAAGCGGGGGGGAGAGTGGATGAAAGGAAGCACCAGCCCCAACAGAGAATCCCAACTGGTGGGCATAATGGGTGACCACTAGCAAATGTGGGACAGCCTGTTGGAACTTCCAGTAGGAGGCGCCAGGGGCCACGCAACAAAGCAGGTTAGATCTGATACCTGGAAAATGGAAAAAAGTCTGTTTTCAGTAGCAACTACTGGACACCAACCTCTCTAAAGTCTTGCTGGTAGCTGTCACAGG